TGAAAAAAACACTGGGGTTCACAAAAAGCACTAATAGGAATATCTTCTCTTTCTTGTGTTCCTTAAAGGTTCAAAGTCATATTAACATGATTAGGTTGACTTACATTTTTTGGTAAATTGGAAAATTTAACAAGCCGAAGCCGATCTACGCATGGTGGGTGATACATCCATTGCAGGAAACGCTTACCCTGTCGATCCACTGTTAATTGTCTCTTTTTGGTCGATTTTCGAGATTTTAACAACAATTAACAACTGTCATAATGTTTCACAAGATTGTAAAGATCCAAGATACAAGAAGAATTGAAAACGAATAAACCCAATAACTGTGCCGCCAAACCTGGCTTTGGTCATATATGACTGCGGTAGAACAAACGTTAGTTCTATTATTATTTTTTTCTAACGTTTAATTAAAAGTAATGTACAGAATTGACTGTTTCAATGATATTTCATCACCAAATAATGATTACGTCCATAAAACTTTCAAATTACCATTACCATTACGACCCTTTGTTCAAACAACCCTAAATGAACGTAATCGGAAAAGGAAACGCAAGTGATTTTTTATAAATTTTTTATGGCATTGAACTAGTTGTTCAGTATCTGTGGATAATCTTAATTGGTACTATGTGTCTTTTATAGTCTTTTTGATAATTATGTTGTGTACTTTGTATTGAATTGATGTGCCATTACAACATTGTCCCAGGTTAAGTGGAAGGTTAGGTACCCACAAACATGTTTATCCCTGCCTTATTGTGTACGTTTCTGTCCCAAGTCAGATGCCTGTAATTCAATGATTGTCGTTTATTGCTGTATATTATTTTTCATTGATTTTTGTGTACATAAATCAGTTTATTATTATTATTTTTACATTTGACATGTCGGAGCCTGTTATAGCTTGCAATATGTGGTTTGAGTATTGTTCATTGATGAAGGCCGTACGATGACTTATAGTTGATAACATCATTTGATCTCAGGTGGATAGTTGTTTCATTGGCAATCATACCACATCTTTTATATATATCGATCAACTAATGTTGAGATCATTGAATTTTGAATTGTAATGTTAATGACGTCTTTACGCTAAATCTATATATTAATATATATTTTAGTCTGTGAAACATATTCGATTTATTATATTAGTTGTTATTGACTTTTAACTAGCTTTCAGTAACTGTGAATACTTTGTGACACTTGTAACATCTTGTCTTCATTTTTACAACACTAGGTATATACATCTGCTGGTGGTCTATCAGTCCCCGAGCGTATCATCAGTTCAGTAGTCAATACTTTGGTACTGACATGATTTATAACAAACTTCTCTTAAATTGTCCGTGTATAAAATTAGAAATTATTAAAAACTAAGGTTTCAACTCCTAACGACAAAGTTGACCTTAGATGGATTTGGCTATTATGTGTAGGTACTTTTTGGTCATATAGCTCGTCAACTGTTTCGGTTCTTTTACATCCTTGACTTTCATCATATCTGATGAAGGTAAATCCAGAAACGCGCTTCAGACGCATGACATTTGTAAAATATTGTTTTCATTCCCTTCCAATCAAACTTCTTATCGTATAATTTCTTTTAAAATTAAGATTTAAAGGATTTGATTTACTGGCTCCGATTTACATGTATTCAACAACCAGTCCACCAACTTGCAAAATAGCAGAACACAATAGATCACCCATTTAGTATGCACAGATATTAAGATGCACGATTGCACAAAAAGTTCTTCTTCATTGAACATTTTGGAAACATATGCCAACCTTTTTTGAGGATATTGCCCCTGAAATGCTCATTTTTAACTGTTTTTGCATTCTTTGGCATTGTTTCAAAAGCTATAGGAGCTAAGACAAATTGTTAATTGCAAAAATCTCAACATGACAAGGTGTATATAAATCCTAAAAAATGGCTTTTAGAGTTATTTCCCCTTAAATTTTGATTTTTTTTTCAATTTTCTCAGTTATTTGCTGTTATTTTGACCATTATAGGAGCCAGGTGAAACGTGTTAATTGCAAAAATGATGAGCTGGACAAGATGCATGTACCCAGAAAATAAAAAATAAAAATCCGTCCACCTGTTTGCAGTTATTTTCCCTGAAATTTTCATTTTTTTGCAGTCTATGCTAGGAGCTAGGATATATTTGGCCTTGAGCATCACCAAAGAGACAAAGTGAAATGCGTATCCAGTGCACAAAAATTGATACTGTAAATGTTATTATTATAATGTTAACTGCTTAAATGATCAGCATGACAAGATCTATCTACTCTGAAAGTTTCACAACCCATTGTTGCCCATGAAAATTGATTTTTACCGTTTTTTACAGTTTTAACTGTTGTCTAAAAAAAAGACCGTATTAGCTAGGTTAAGCATGTAAATTGAAAAAAGAAACTTATCAGTTACACAAGAGAAACTATAATATGTGCATATAAAAGTCTTTATTAACAAACTGGCGGGTTTTTTTTACTAGGTGAGCGATACGGACTGAGCATGTAACTTCAAAACTAGCTGGAAATCCTATCATTTATATATAGTTTTAAATGTGTTAATCTAGAATATATTTATATCAATTACTGAGTGAACTGTTTATTTCCTTATACTTACATTTAATTGAATAGAAAGAAAAACACTATAAAAACACTTTTTGTCACAACAATACTTATTTATCGGACTTATATCCTAAAAGGAATCACTGCATATACTCTAACTTAACTCTTACAGTACATTTAAAACCCCACCTCTGTTGCAATTTTGAAAGAATCTTGAATAAACACTTTAATTATTGTCAGTCTGTCCTATGTGCATGTTTTCTGACATGAAATGCCTAAAACCTGTATGAAAACACTTTGATAACAAATTGAAAGCATTTCAGAATACAATGAATATCAAGTTTAATAGTTAAACATTCCATCATTCAAGATTATATGAAGAATCCAATCCTGCCACTGTCTCTAGTCCACATCTTACCGTATGCCCATTTATCATTAAAAGTTCACAATGTTTGCCTAAATTCATCAGTTTAGATCTAGAACTTTTGTTACAATCTTGTCTTCTCTAACCATATATCTTATATAATTTAACTAATAATTGCGCAAGAAGTGTTTAAATCAAGCCATTTTTGCAACAGCTGTATTTAGGAAGTTACCAAATTGATACATAAATTCATTAAAAGTTTTATAGAACTGACTACTAAAAATTACTGTCTTTACAAGTTAAATAATCATTTTTTACACACAAGGTTAGGACTTTTCTCTGTTTTTTCTGCCCCTGGGGCCTCATGTTTGATAAAAATTTGGCTACTTCTGTGAATATGGAATATCAAGTATATTTTGTAGGAGATAATACACTATTGTCATTTTTATAGTCTGAGGTAATTTCATATCTCTAGCTTGAATAAATTGATGTTACGGTCACAAGAAAGCACAGTCAGATGTTACGGTTTTTTAACATGTTTAATGGTTTTCGACAGGACGAAACACCCAGACAAAAATATTTATCAAACATCAGTGAGTTTCAACGTCAAGGCAACTTTTGGAAGTTTAATACTGTATTATAAAAACTTTGATTTGATTTCATTTTGTTGAAAACTATTTTTATCAGTTAAATCACATACTTTTTCTTAGATATTCCATCAAATATTCATATTATAAAAGAGGATATCAAGGGCCATTCAAAACAAACAAGTTGAGAGAAACTGGCAACGGCATTGTGTAAAAAAACGAAAGACAACGAAAAGACAAAAAAGATGACAAAAGACTACAAAGAACATGTAGAAACACATTTGGTTTTATCTTATTTTTGTATACTAAGTATCTGTATTAGGTCTATATTATTATTTCTGGTATTTCGTTGTGGTTAAAAATAGGTATAATATGATTTCCGTCCCCTTTACACATTTTCTGGAAAATTGTCATTTTCATTAGATTGGAAAACTGTCATCAGGGAAAGGAACAAAAGGATATTTTCTATTTTCATAGTGCTACCTTCCAAACCTGATGATATTTTGTTATTGAATCTACAAATAACACCAACACCCGTTATAACTAATGGTGATAGTGTACCATTTGTTTGCACTGGTGATGTCGGGAAACCTCCTGAGAAATTCATTTTCCAAAAGTACCGACGTGGTCATATTTTACCAATGAACTATACATCCACCAACACATCAATACAGGGTTTGTCGGATAATTGTTCCTACTACCGTACAAGTTACATCACATTACAGGTTACTGCTGGTGACAACAAAGCAGTTCTACGGTGTGCCGTTGTTTCACCTCTGACCGAAATGAGCATGTATGTGGAATTAGAGCCATTAGAGGTGTACTGTAAGTGAACTTTTTATAAGTCAAATTCATATATTTTATGCCAAAAACGCTTCTGATAAAGATGTTATAAATACAAGATATTTATAGAAACGCTAATGAGACAGCAATCCAACAACATAAAAACACATGACATTTACATTAAAAGGTCAACAAATGTTCTTCAAGAGAGGAGAAATACATTCAGGTTATTAAAAACATCATTCGAAGACAACAGGCATCATCATTGCCAAACGAAATTGATGAACAGGCAAACAACAGAAAAAAAACTGAACATAAAACTAAAGATGAAACAACACGTATGAAGAAATCCTTTTGAATCGCGCCGGTTTATCGCTAAATGAAAGTTATAAACAACAATATGTCTCCGATGTTCTGTTCTCGAATATATATTCCTTTTTGAATATAAAAACAAAAACGAAAACAACCAACTGAAAAATAAAACTCCGAAAAAACGACACCGAGCGTTGACAGCGCCAGCAACTCCCGTTTTGCACGGATTATGCAACATGCAAATCTAGGATTGAATAAATTTCCCGGGAATAGGACACAATTAGTAACAGATCAGACGCAAATAATTTTCTTACATATTGCTAAAACTCATACACATTTAACACGTTTAACCTAATATCATATGTTACTGATGCATACATCTTAGTTTCTTTATCTTACAGATGCAGTGAGAACGCCAACTATAATCAAAGATCCAAATAAAACCGATTATTTATTAGGTTTGGATAATCGTATTGACCTGACGTGTACAACCGATGGTAATCCCAAACCGGGTTATCTTTGGTATAAAGACAACCAAATCGAGGCAATAAGCACCAGCAACACGTTTACTATCGAGGATGTCACTAAACCAAATGGGGGTATATATACCTGTGTCGTCAGCAATGCCTTCAATAACGTCAATCACAGCAAACGTGTTCATATTTATATTAGTATAATACATGTAAATGAAGGTAAGTTTCTCCATCAAAGTTATATAATTATTCTTAATTACGTTATCTAGGAACGAGAGTATGTGTTAATTTTACATATCTCAGCTGATGTTCATGTTCACACTATACGGACTTCATTTACAGGGGTGTGCCTCAACAGAGTAAATATGAGGAACAACGCCGGAAATCGACACTGCATAAGTTTTAAGGTCACTATCACGCATTGTTGACCGATTTATCGGTGTCTAAACTAACTAGCGACATGTTTTTGCGGTCTTAGATCTGTGGATACCGATATAAGTCGTCTGATCCCTCATTTCACCGGTTATGTTCAATGCCCGACTGTGACATTTATACTGAGTGAGAATTTGTTTTGCAGGTAATGCATGCATAACAGGAGACGCTAACCTTGTCCACTCGACCATCTCGCTCCTTTTTGAGTTCATCCGATTTCATCAGTTTCTGTATGTTACCTTGATATGTCTCTTCCTAATCGATTTACGATTGATATTTGATCATCGATAAACTACTGTTACTTTAACTTGTAACATGAATGGTAATTTTTTCTTTGATCTTCGTTTGAGTTAACTTCGGTTATTTATAGAGGAGTGCGTTAACTGAATGTTAGTCCCGCCGTGTGTCGCTTGTCATAGGAAAAGCAAAGAATGGGGGTGGGCGGGGTGGGGGGGGGGGGTGGGGGGGGGTGGTGGAAGGGGGGGGGGGGGGTGGGGGCGCTTAGACCAGTGCTCTAACTTCCATCTCAAAAGTTGTTATTTCACTGTCTAGCTCCGACTCCTTGGCCTAGTAAACTATGAAATCAATGACCATAAAATGTTCTTATAAATGTAAACAAAATGCATACACAACAATATATCAAACACAAATCGAGAAAAAAAGGGGGGGGGGGATTGAGGAGGGCTTACGCTAACATTAGTCAAACTTGTAAACCTAACCCTAAAGTAAAAATGGTTCCCTATACATTGTAATTGAAACAAATGAATTCTCGAGGAGAGCTACAAAAAGGAATAACGTGGTCTATAAACGAAAAGGCGATATTGATAAATTGGTGGATACTTGTTTTTATCGTGTCGAAATTAATGAAAAAATATATATCACTGAATGTTTAGTAATTTTCTTCATTCTATAAAGGCCTATCTCCGTGAATTGATCATGCTTCAAATATTTGTCCCTGGAACTTACACGCATTCAACATGCAACCATTGCAATCAATTAACCGATCTTTTTCCATATATATATATATATATATATTCCAATTCTTGGGAATGGAAGAATAGTATTAATTACCTTCATAACTGGTATTATAAAATGTTTTCTTCTTATCACAACGATAAAACTCCTTCGAAACTACACGTCATTTTCGAGTTGGAGGGCAGATAGACATCGTATAAAATTTTGCATCAACTCAAAGTTACGTTTTTCGTGAATTAAATACGTTAATTCGTAAAAGGCGTGCTATATATATAACTTAATAAGCCAACCATACCCAGCTCGCACTTTCTCATATCCAGGATAAGTTTCCAGCGAATTCTGAGTCAAAACCCTTATTAAGAATACATTTTAAAAAGTTCACTTCATAATGAACATATGTATAATGTGTATTAAGTTTTAAGTTGACCTCATACTACCTTAATTCAAAACATAAATTTGATAATGGACGGCCATACGAAGGGACGCACAGACTTCAAAACATCATGGCACACGACCTAAACAAAAATAAAAATTGTATTTACGTGAAAGATGTATTGTATACAAATGTGTAAGTATAAGTTTTACAGTCCAATTCCTCGTTATTTAATTTATAAGATTAAATCTTTGATATTAACTAATTTTTACAGGTTTAAAGATTCGTGTGCGTATTTTGAGTTAAGAACATAATTAAGTTTATTGTGAAAAAAAGGACAAAATAGTGAACTACCGATTATTATTTTGAACACACTGTAAATTAACATCAGACAGTTTGGTCTTATAAGTAGGATAGCTTCAATTTTAGGCAGTGAGAGAAAAACAACTGTTGCAGGCCGTACGGTGACCTATAATTGCTGATATCCACGTCATTTGAACTCATTGGTGGGTAGTTATTAAATTTACAATCATGCCATATTTTTTATATTTATAACCTGGGAAAGAGAAAAGGGTGTTTTCAAAAATAGAGTGAAGTTCCAAACATTTGACTACTCTATCCTTGTATTCCTCATTTACTCAAAATAAAAAGTAAAAATTTAATGCCAGTGTATTTCCCATAAATGACCAACGAAAATGTTTTCATTAAATCCGCATTGGAAAATATCATAATTTTCATAAGAATTTGAATTTTCGAACAATAGAACTTGTGCTGATTTGTGGCTAATCTAAAATGCACCACCCTCAGGATTAAAAAAGGGTAAAAAAAACATAGCACGTAGAATTAAAAGATAACAAGTTGAAATGTATGTAAGTGTCTGAAAACTCATGTTTTTCATTTAATAATTGTTTACGACTGCAAAAATGTAATCTTTCATCATTATGAATATTTAGGTAATGAATTGTTATAATGCTTAGATATACTAAAAGGGGTGAATGGGGTATAAAATTATGGATATCTGTTCTTCTAATGTCCATCAGTGAAAACTCACGAAAGGTCTAGGTGGCTGTGTGGGAAGTACGTTTGGTATACCCAAAACACATCCGATCAGATTGTGGAAGAAAAAATCTGATGCCTTTTGCAGAGCAGTATATATGTCCCAATCCAATATACCCTCTTTTTGTCTACATTTTGTCGATCAATTTTATCTAGCGTATTAACTGGATGTATAGCTGATATAAAACAAGAAACCTCCAGGGGTTAACATGGGTATATACATATGTTGTTTAACACTTTCAGCAAGTCTTACTGGGTCCGTAAGTGATATGTTTCAAGGCAAAATTCCAGCATCTGTTTACTTTCATCCTGTTCGACCAACTTTTCAGAACCAACCTATTGAATTATTGTTATTGTGTTCTCGTCCTGAATATTACTTAAGGAGACATATATTTTTTATAAACATTATTATAATTATATTAAGATTTAAGTTACTGTCATACAAGTGAGAGGTTTAGCTAGCTATAAAACCAGGTTTAATCCACCATTTTCTACATAAGTTAATGTCTGTACCTTGTCAGGAATATTACAGTTGTTTTCCATTCGTTTGATGTGTTTGAGCTTTTGATTTTGTCGTTTGATAAGGGACTCTCCGTTTTTGAATTTTCCTTAATTTTTTTTGTTTGTTTGTTATTTTACTTTGCGTATACCCAATTAGATAAGTTGTCTAAGTCTCTAAATATTGCTTAGTTCGGTATTAAAAACGATTCAAAAACATTATTAGCAGACTCAATGCAATCGTCATACACTTTATTCACTTGAAATTGTCTTCCTGAATAAAGTGGACTAATCGAGATAATATGACATAAATAAAAACAAATTGTTTGATTTATTGGTTGTTTGATTGATTGGTTGTTTGCTAAACGTCCAGTGGCAACATCTCAACTTACAGTTAATACCATAGATGGATCCTAAAATTGGGGGTTGACTGGGATGCAGGGAAGGATATTTAGAATGCCACTGGAAAAAAGAGTATACTGGATAGGGACAAAAACTAAGCCTTGCAACAGGTTACCTCCAAATCCCTTTAAGACTTTTTGCAAGGGTTCGTTCAAAAAGCGTGACACCCTCCCTAAACGAGGCAACGGATTTAACTCTCAATTCTTACCGGACATGACTCTGAATTTATACATCCCGCACAGCCACACGGTAGAGTTTTAAATGTTTGACAACAGGAACATGTGCAGAATCGGTTTAAAAGTATGTGCAGGAAAAGGAAAACATGTGAGGATGTACAGTTTGAAATGCCGTTTCTGAACATTTTAATCCTTTTTCGCCTATTACGCCTTTTTCCCCACCATTTTCTACATAAGAAAATGCCTGTACCAAGTCAGGAATATGACAGTTGTTATCGGTTCGTTTGATGTGTTTGAGCTTTTGATTTTGCCATTTGATTAGGGACTTTCCTTTTTTAATTTTCCTCGGAGTTCAGTATTTTTGTGATTTTACTTTTTACTAATCCTGTCATCCTTAGAATTCTCAAATCCGAATAACGGTTATCATAAGGCAAGGACCATTTATCTTTTGATGTGGAGAAAAACATGTTATTTGATATAAGTTCAAACAAAAATACAAGAATCGTTTTTCAATAACATGCGGGAAAAAGATTATGCTTAAATCAATTTTTCTGCACCAGATGCTCATTTCGACAATCAATGTCTCTTCAGTGATGCTCAAGTTCAAAATATTTGAAAATCCAAAGCTTATTAAAAAGATGAATAGCTATAAACCAAAAAGGACAAAAAGTATAGCCAAAGCCGGGCAGGGAATCAGAGCTTTGCATGAGGGAGATACATTCCTTAATTTTAAATAATTTCAAACATTTTGTAACAGGAAATTTCAATAACACTAAATCCGTATTTTCATACCAGTACCGAAGTACTGGCTACTGGGCTGGTGATACCCTCGGGAACTATCAGCCCACCAGCAGAGGCATCGACCCAGTGGTAGTAATAACATAAACGGTACTAATTTTTCTGCACCAGATGCGCATTTCGACAATCAATGTCTCTTCAGTGATGCATTGGAAAATCCAAAGCTTATTAAAACGATGAAGAGCTATAAACCAAAAAGGACAAAAAAGTATAGCTAAAGCCGGGCAAGGAATCAGAGCTAAAATTCATTTAACCCCACTTATTTTCGATTGAAATAAACTATTTGTTTTATATAGCACGTCAAGTAAATATACATCATTGGCTTTGAAGTTAGGAATTTCAACTTTATTGCTGAAGGTTAATACAGAAGAGCGGCTTCGGATGCACACAATTTATAAAGTGTTATTTTCATTTTTCAACCATCAACTCCCAAGATGCATCACGTGCTTTGATTTCGCATTGAAGCATTGAGTTCAAGTCAATTGCAACCCTTGGAATAAGGGTCAAGCTACGCCACCTCTAAGCTTTACGTGGTTCTTATGTAATAATGGATCCTAAACTTTGAACTCCTTTCTATAGGATCATAACAAAATTAAACCCAGAAAAGTGATTCAAAAGCCACAAAGTCGCATTTTTAAAAAATTTTTTTTTGTTTGCATCCTTTTGTTGTGATGCCTTCAATTATATTTTGTTGGTGTTTGGATATGGTTTCGCGCGGGTGTCATTTTGATTATTTGACCCTCAAGTCAATGAAAACACAGGAAAGTTATCCACTGACATAATTTTGTTTGTCTCGTGGTACGGTGTACATGAATTATATATATATATATATATATATATATATATATATATATATATATATATTTAATCTGTTCATCGGAACGAATTGACGATAATGACCGTGTTCACACCACTAAATGTACTCTGAGTACAAACAAACCAGTGCACCTCGAACAGTTTGGACAATTCTGAATCTCTCGTTTCTATTTTGTTTTGTTTTAATAAAACGAACCAGGGGCTCTTAGAACGGCTATTGTGAATATAAAGTAAGTTTTTTTTCTTCGAAAAATGATACATAGAGATAACCTACTTAATAACATTGTATCTGATTAAGTAAACCCTTTCAGGGCTCCTGAGATCACCCCATGCTATTAGTCTTTTGTTCTTTGTGCTGTGTTTTCTTGGCTGTTATTTACATTTTCGTCATTTTTATTTATTTGATATGGTGCTGTCAGTTTGTGTTTGAAAATCCCTTTTGTGTCTTCCGTCTCTGTGTAAAAGTCTTTATAAAATATCCATATATTATTCTTCCATTTGTTTTTGTTATTTAACTTTGAATTCAAATGTCGATATGTGCGATACCAGTAATAAGTTGTCATAATGTTTTTTTTTTTCTGGATTAACCATTAGTCCTATTACATACGACTTTGCATTCTTATTCTATTTTTAACGTTTTCACGCGGATATCTTCATTTTTCATTAATGTTGTTTTGCAATGCGAACGGCACATTGATAGTAAAACAGCAGAAAATTGACAAAGAATTAGAAATTAGTCTCCAGCAGTTCTATGTTATAGGATAATAGTTACCTTCATCAGGAACGCTCAAACCAAATTTTGAAAGCTTAGGATTTATAAGACCAAAACATGCGTACAGCTATTTTACCATAAGGGACATTATAGATAAATAGATTCATCTAAGATCAACTTCGTCCGAGGTAGTTGGAACCTTTAACCTTAATTTTTAATAATGTCTAAGTATCTTTGGAGTATTTAAGAAACACTTGTTATAAATTATATTAATACTGAAGCACCGACTACTGAGTTGATTATACCCTCGGAGACAAACAGTCCACCAACAGTGATATGCGTGACTCACATGACCCAGTGCTAATGTCGTGCGTCCGAATCGCTGTAAGAATCGCCATCATCATTTGGTCAATTGTTATCAGTTGAAAATGCAACACGAGCTTTCAGACGTATGTCCGCGACGGTTCCTAGTTCTAAAAATACATCTAAAAAAAGATTTGGTATAATATCCAATGGTACACCTATTCTCCAGAGACCAACGTTGCTGTAGACAATTATAGGTCACAGAATGGCCTAAAAAATGAGCAAAACCCATACTTATATCGACACATTACCGGCATTAACCACGATTGGTAAAGCAGAATACTCTGGTCCTAAAGTGGAAGAAGAAATGTCATTGCTGGTTTTCAGTAGGACGTCTTGCCTTAACATTAATTGTATAAATACAGTTCATCAGCAAAATGTACAATCCCAGTGTCTGCTCCTCTGTAATTAATATACGTGTTTCTCATACATATATGTAAATGGTCTCGATATCTTGACAGCAGAAACAAGTTTAAGCGGACCTCATTTTGTATCTATAGCTTTGTATTGGAATTTACCTACATGTAATACGTTTTTTTGTTGCCTACATTTCTTGTATGAATTTGTTAGTTGTTGGCAGTTGGGTTGCTTTCGCGTCAACAGTAATATTGAAATTCCTGGAATATTTACTTCACATCATTATCGATTTTTTTACAAAGTTTTATATTGGCACTGAAAACTTAGATGTTTATCGTGAGTACATTTGTTTTTAGCCGTCATTGTGGTTGGCACAGTATGTGGATCAATAATAGTGGTTCTTTGTGCGATATTATTTGGTGTTATACAGAACAAGAACAAGTAAGTAATTCTTAGATTGTGGATTAAAACGAAATTAGATAACTATTGCTTTTACTCCGCGTTTAAAGATGTCATTGAAAAAAACTTCGATAAAAGAAGAAATTGAATATACTGTAACCAATTACACCTTTTTATTAGGGACTTTTCGTTTTGAAATTCCTCGGAGTTCGGTATTTTTGTTATTTTACTTTTCACTATGATGTTGGGATGAAGTAAATTTCTACTGTCTGATTTGTTCATTAAATGATATCCTACTTGCCAATGGAAATCGAACTCGTTCTAACATCTATAAATGAGTTACGGACAAAAGAAGATACTCCGTACGAATGCTCTAAGATAACATCTAAGACTTGTGATTTGTTACGTCAGAGGCTCGTTTCAGTTGTGAAGGACACATCAATGGAGCTCCAAATTAAACATTTGGACGGTCGTAATTCTTCTTTCTTAATACGATGTGATAAAAGAGTGCCGATTTCTTATCGGAAAAGAAATGCCACTGTTTTGCCCCTTAAATGTTTTACATATTTGCTATAGGGCTTCAAACTTTATGAATTTACAGCAAAACTGCCAAGCAGTGCCGCAATACCCGTATTTCGAGAACTTGTCAATGATTTATAGGCATGAGCAAAGGATTACCCAAAAGATATTTTGCTACATGATGTGATGTATTATGTATTGTATGCAATGATGTTAATTGTGTAAAATATCTTTTATTGGGTAGGCCAAGTTGGCTCATAGCTATATTTTTCGAGAACAAGGTAAAATGGCCGCTGAAGTCATATATCAATTACGACATGTGTATGACATTATAGTGAGATGGCCCATTTCAGTATATGGTATATATCTGCAGCTAAGATCTATATTAACCATATTAAAAACAAACAGAAAAAAACAAATGTATAAGTATATCTTGATTTCCTCAACATGCTCAAAGAGAAATCAAATTTAGACAGAATATAGTTTTCAATATTATCTATTTGTTTCGTATACTAAAAGTATAAGCTTCTTCGATTAAATTGAAAATACAAATGCATTTTTTAATCAAAAAAGATGTAGGTTGTTTGGTTATCAATGAGACTTACTTAACAATTAAAGTCCACACACATAAAACATGACTTTTAGATATATCTGAATTATCCAACTGCCAAAAACTGCATATCTTAATTCCTGAGGCATACCTGTTGATTCAACCACGCTGTTAGAAATACTACGTGCAATGATCTGAATTATGCTGCGTGTTTGTACTTCGAAACTATAAACAAGAATATGTAGAATAAAACCGCGAGTTCCATGAAAGTGAAAGTGTTACGAGCCATTTACCGGACAACAAAGTCAAATTTACGTTCTGTAAGAAGAAGCTGATTAGTTTATAATATTTAAGTAACCTATAAGTTTTTGTTTTATAACGTTTAGATGTCTTCTTATCAGAAACCGCAATGACAGATCATTAGATTATGTTAACGCGATACAGCAACAAGATCTGTCGTTGTATGAAGGAGTCAGTCATGCTTTAGATGGACATCATTATGAACAACCTTCAACCGGGGAACATCAGTACACAAATACCAACTTAAGCAGTAATTGAAAAAAGACACTGTGTGATAAAAACTTGTTATTTATCAAATAAGTATATGTGCGCAGTCTGTAAATATGTGTATGAGTAACGGTTTCATGAAGATTTGACAAATATATTCTTCAATCCTGCATATTTTAGATTTTTGTTGAAATTAACTGAAATTGAAATGTTGAGACCTATATGCTTGTCAGTGCTCTTTGGTGTTTTCTAATGTAACACGTTATACACTGGTTTTCCGGTAAAGCGCCCAACGTCCGAGTAAAATATGATAAAATATAAATTGCAGCAAAACTTGTAAATAAAGAACATGGAACATCCTCATAGTATATTCTATCCAACATATAAATTTCAGCATGTAATATGCTACCGTTAATTTGTTATGACCGAGACAGTTTAGATGAAAAAATGTCAAAAAAAATACATTTAACGTCATTTTATTTCCTTTGACGTCGTTATCTGATAGCGTGATTTTCAATACCAAAAATGCTAAAAACTTTTAAATCATTATTTTTACGGTGTTTTGTTATCTTTATTAATTCTCAAAAAACTTTAATGTGCGTTTTTCTTGTGAGTTGAAATTAACACAAATTAAGGTGATACATCTTCCTGTGGACTGTTTCCTTGTGAATTAGTATGCCAAAAAAATTGACTCAGCGTGTTGGTCTTGTACAAAGCAGAATAAATATTAATATCGTATTAACATGCTTTCGACCCGAATATGCATATAATTCGCCGCAGAATGCTCCTCCTCCTCCTCCTCCACCTCACCATCATCATCATCATCTAGTTTGCCAATCTGTGTTACCATGAATTATCATTGATGTGGTCATATTTATAAATATTTTCAGAGTGCCGAGAATGGCGTATAATGCATTCATCCCTTGCTTTGAATAGTTTGAATAACTAAGAATTTTCTTTTGTAGACGAAACACAACCCTTGAATCTTTGATAGGTTACTTCCTTTGATATTCAATAATACTTTTTTCCTTGGTATCGGAAATTTGAAATGTTAATATAGGTGAGTGACGAGACGTGTTTATATCAGATCAAAGGATTAAACGAATCAATTTTTTGATAATGTTTAAAGCTATTATAATACTGCAATTTTAGAGGAGAAATGATTGATTGATTGTTGTTTTCTGAACGTGCAGTGGCAAATATTTCATGCAGAATTATGACCGAGAGAAGAATTTTCAAACAATAAATAAGATGTCGCATGCGTTGTCGTTAAAAAAGAATTTAAAAAAAAACCCAACTCCAATAAAAATAAACAAAACCATGACGAGAGAGAGAGACGACAAAAACAAAAAAAACAGCTAAAAATAAAATATAAAAACATTTTCCATAGATTTTTTATTCATAGTAGGCAACCCTCTTTGTTGGTTGGTTGTAGCATATTAATCTTACCGACTTTAATTTTAAAAGAGACCACTAAAAACTACCAACTAAACAGCTTCTCCTTGTAGATACTCTTATACTAGAAGAATAATGATTTGATTTGTTTTTTGGTGTTTTAACGCCACTTTTAAGCACCGCTTTTGGGCTTTTTCGTGGCGGCCAGTTTTTATTGGTGGAGGAAGCCGGATTGCCTAGAGAAAACCACCGACCTCCGATAGGAAAACTGACAATCATAGTCAATTAAGATTGGAGTCGAGTGCACCCGCACGAGCGGGGTTCGAACTCACAACCTCAGTGTTGACTGGCTAGTGATTACAGTAGTAACTACTTAGACCACTCGGCCACCGAGGCCTAGTAGTATTATGTATCCTATTCCGCTTGAATATCTGATATCTATTTGAAATAACCCAAGATATATTAGGTGGTTTATAGAATAGAAAATAGTGCCTCCCCCCTCCCCCTAAAAAATAAAGAATGAAGAAAAATAGGCAATCAAATAAAGAATAGAAAATAATGGGGTGTAAAAAAAATAATTGTTTAAAAATTAAGAATAAGGTAAAAAAAAAATACTGATTTTAGAAATAAATAATTTACAGAATAATGAATTTTTGCGTTTTCTGCATATCAAATTTATTATTGATAATTGACAATAGACAAGTAGATCATTTGGAATGAAATGTTGAACTGGTCGTAATCGGAACTGGTTTATTGAAATTAGCGATGCAAATTATATACATTCATAAGCATCGGTATTTTTCTCCAAAATCACGATCTTGCACGAGTTAACGTATCATTTCGTTCCGAAGCGCTATTTTGGATTTATCTTCATCATTTACGCCCAGCGCCGAATATTTGAAAGCCAAGGATGTAAAAGAACAGAAAGAGTTGATGAGCTATATGACCAAAAAGGACATAAAAAAAAATAGCCAAATCAGTCGAAGATTAACTTTGCCCGATGGAGTTGAAACCTTAGTTTCTTTATGATTTCAAAATTTATCAATGGATAATTAAAGGGAATTGAAAGGAATTGCAGAATCAAAACGGCTCTTTCGTCGACATAATTCCTACATCTTCAGTTTCATATTTGTAAGATCCATAACTCATTATAATTAAAAAAAAAACAATTTATTGGTAAGGGCTGGAAGACTGATGCTTGAGGACGGATGACATTGTCTTAGATTTTTTGGGAGTATTTTTAGTACCAATAAATGTTAAATATATTTTAATATTCTCCAAAACAATTGATTAATAGGCAATGTTTTAATATTTTGTTGGACAGTTGGGCAATCCAGGATAAAATCTAGTTCTCTGGTGATCGAATTTTTACTCTATCGGATTTCAGATTTCTCTTAATGTCGGTTAACTACCGGTACTGTCTCTGTTATAAAACTGAATGTTCAGCTTCTCAGTACTAGTACCTCATATGACAAACCAAATATCATCAAATATACCTCATGTCATCTTAACTTCTGTTTATTATCCCAGATATCCAAATTATCACGAAGAAATTAAAATGGTCTTTTTCTCCCCCGTTTGGTTTAATCAGATATTCAGATATTAATCAAAATTGATAAATGGTATCATTTGTGCAGTACAGTGACAGATTAAAAAAAGGGGGTTGGGTTACGGGGTACGGGGTAGTGTCGTCATAGAGAAAAATGGCCTAAAGAATTACAGAATACAAAAATGTAGACCCCCCCCCCCCCCCCTCCCCTAATCCAGACCGTCATATATATTATATTGTGACGGATAGTTTTGTTGATCTATTTAACTGTTTTAATTTTCGAAAAGAATATTTTTGCAAGGTGTTGTTAATAAATGTAACGGACAATATAAACTATGCCCTCTCAGCCGACGTCGTAATTTCATTTAAATGAAAGAAAGTATTGAAAAGCTTGTTTCCCTGTGCAACATGATATAAAACTCATTAGGCAGAGCAATTTTAATGGCTACTTGCATAATTGTTAAATCATATTAAATTCGGTATCAAATTTATATTAATAATAAACGTTACATATCTTGAATATTGAAAACAGGTTAAAATTATTTACTTGCATTAATATTGATATTTATCATAATTCATATTTAGTAGTAATACAGAAGTTTTTAATATTTGATAAATAGTCTGCTGTTTAATCCGTTTCGCTCAACTTTGATGCTCACCCATTATCACACCCCTTTATCGCGTGTCTACTCTTTATCGCACCCCTATTCGGATTTCTCTTTTATGACAGTAGTGATTCCGACTAAATTTACATGAAGTCCGATGTTTGTTAAACTAGATTTTTATATTTCAAAAGTGCACATTTTACTCACCGGTCTCAAAGTAGTCTCTTGTTTATTACAGTATACTTGTTATTAAATTGTTGGTTTATTGTTGCTATTTTTTTTATTAACAGGTTTTATTCAGAATGTGTTTTATATAGTACAACATTACTAAAGGAGGATAAAAAGAACTGAATGAACTACCATACAAAACACAAACAAACAAAAAATACAATAAGCAAAATATTTCTATGGACAACAGGACCTAAATTGAAAGGTAACCCAATAAGCAGTTCCTATATATGATAAAACTTTTAAAACATGGCAAAAATAAATAAATCTGAAGGTAACCCAGGTGCTTTAGTTCAGTAAGCAGTTCTTATATACTCTCCTGTTTATATCTGTGATAAAGCGTATACATGGCAAAATCCGTGTCACATGCCGTTTGGTATCTCGGGATGATACGGCATGTGATACGGATTTTGCCATGTATTATTCTTTATAAAAACATCCGGTTCGGTTTTTTTCTAAGTCTGAGAAAAATGCAACTGTGTTACACTTAAACAATTGATTAATACAAATTGACACATGGTGTCTTCTTATGTCGATAATTACAATGTATGTTTTTGATCTGTAAGTTATATATTCGCCATCCGTAATTATTATCTAAAATGTTTATTTGGCATGCCATACTCGATAGAAGTGCGGACGTGATAGAAAGCACTCTTTACCAAAACGTCAACGGAGATTACATTCCACGGAGGTTACATTTCGATGATTTCGTCATTTATAAAACATAATACGTGTATCTGAAGATAGAAGTTGTACTAAAATTAAATGTTGACACCGATATCGATCTGTTGAATGTAAAATTTATTTTCAAAATAGGTGTTTGTTTAGAATAGACCATTCCACGGAGATTACTTATAAACAAAATTATTTATGGTAACCTTATAATCAAATTTAACTCATATCACACATTATGTTGTGCTTAATATTTTGTCCTGCTTGGTCTTTTTTCCGTTAACGGAAAATACAGGTTTACGAAAAAAATATTTTGACGGCCGTACCGATCACTATCGTTGTGCAATATGTACTTAACTTTATAAAAATTAAAAATATAGATAATAAAGAAATATAAAAATCTCAGATATAAGTATGACAAGCTACCGGTATATATAACTCGAAGTCGTTATTTTTGCTTTCTTACGGTGGGACAAATTAACGTCATAAAATGGGCGCTTTAACGGAGAACCAGTGTATATTGAAATCATGTGGGTAGAATGTTTTATGCCCAAATATGTACAAATCAAAGCACAATATTTCTATTCTAAATGATTTGATATCATGCCTATTATGTTCACAGTTAAGACATATATAGTACTATCGTCACT